GAAGAACTCATGCTTAGGGACTCGACATTCACGCCTCGGTTCCTCATCTCACGGCCGTAGTCTCGACGTGACATGCCCACGTCCAGCTTCTCATGACCGCCTCGGATCACACTTCACGCCTCACGAGTAGCCCTCACACCTCACAAGCAGGCACACCTTGTCATGCCCGGCCTTCATGCCCATGCCGCCTACTTCACACCCTTCCTCCACGCCCATTTCTCGACGATCACGCTCGCATCCTTTTTAATTGATTTTTTTCTGTTTTATTTCTTTCTATGTTTTTTCTCTACTCTATCGATTTGTTTCCTTTCCTTTTCTTGCTTAATTATTTCACATTTAATAGCTTTTTTTTAATTTTCCCTATCGTCATGCCTCTGCGGATAAGGAATCCAAAGGTGGCTTCATCCTTTCAATCCTGTCGTTCCTTCCAAGTGCAAGGGCATCAAATCCCACCCCCGAAGATCGGTGCTCATCCCAATAATGTACCAATACAATTTTCTATCGATTCTTTTGAAAGACACTTTATAGAGCATGAAAACCATTCTGAAAGGTAGTTTATCGAACATGACACCCATTTTCGTGACTTCCACCACAAGCATGGATACTCGGTTTCAACACTTGGAGATTGGTATAGAATAATTGCAGGTGTTCATGGCCAACTTGGATGCTCGCCTCGACCCATACTTGCCTAGCCCTTCGTAACAACCATCGCCATTTAAAGCTCATGTGTCTTTGCCCTTTCACACCTCGCCTCACCGCCAATGGACTTATCAATTTCGAGGGAGTTTCGTTTTTCCTTTCTACTTCTTATTGTTTCCATTGAGGACAATGTGTGCTTTTGAGAGTAGGGAGGGCACTTGTAAAAAAAAAAGGATAATAAATAAATAAAAGAGAAAATAATATATATATAGTTGTTGCACTCATTTTGTTCGTACTCCTTAGGCCTTGTGATAAATTAATGTTAGAAAAGAGGATTATAAAATAATTGAATGAATGTCTTGCATGCTTAAACTTTTAGAGGTTTGACTTTTGATTCTATGAGCATCAATTTCTTGTGCTAGAAAAAAATCAATTGTGAGCTTTGAGCCTAATCTTTTTATTGTCTTTTGACAACCTCTAGTTTGCTTGTAAGAGAGAGTTCATTTATGCTTAAGATGCTCTAGAACTTGCTGATGAATACTTTTCAAAATCACATATATAATCACATGCATGTTTAAATATGATGAAGGCACATTAGGAATTAACCACTTAACTTAAAAGCCAACACTATATTAACCTTTAGAAAGCCCATTTGAGCCTTATGAAATCCTTTTCTTTGAAAACCCGAATATTAGCCCTAACTTTTTTCTTAACTTATTCGCTTCAACTACCTTAGGGCTAGTAGAGCAATTGGAATATAGTTAATTCATGTTTGGAAGGATATCCACATCAAAATGTATAGGGAAATATAAAAGTTAAACTATGGTTATAAGTGAGAATCAAAGTGGTTGAGTGGAGAATAAAAGCAAGTTAGTTATTGTCGGTGTTGGTGCCCAAGATCTAACCATGTTTGGATGGGCTTATGTTAATATGTTATTAATAATAATAAAGAATTTATTCTACTAATTCTTATATTTACATATTGATAAATTCAGTAGAATTAGATAGAAGTCCTTATGATATACATTTGCAATAGTGATTCATCGAAAGATGTGCGATAAACACTAATGCATATAAATGATATCATTAAATGTCCCAAGTCAGTAGCATCGTCAAGAATGGACATTGACAATATGTGGATAGACTTATGAGTGCTATGCTCATGCTATATAATAGTAGTAAGAGATCTCACACCTATTGGTATGGTGATGCCAAAGCAAGCACTCGAGTGATTTATGTTAGAGAACATGTCATTGAATTTGACTCGCTGTGAGAACCCATTTAGTTTAACTATATAGGAATCTCATACGAGATAGGTACAAATGATCTTTAGAATTGAAGTCATCACAATTATCTCCTTGGAGGACTTATGCACTTTGACACTCGTTTTGATAGACCCATTAATGGGTTGTACGTGGGCGATTTGTTGGGTGCACTAGGAATCTAATAGAGATAGGTTTATGGCTAAGATAGGACATGTTATTCCTTGTATGCTAAAGGAGTTGTCACGTTGCACTTTGATAAATGTTTGCTCAAGAAATATATGAGTCATAGTAAGAGTACATCAATAGAACATAGTTGGTTTACTTTAAGAGCTAAAACATTTGAGAATCGAAGAAAACTTGTGTGAGCATAATCAAACAAGACTAATAACCAAGTTTAAGATCACACTATGATAAGTTGATATGAGAACTGAATTGTATGGTAACCATGTTCGTGAAAGGTAATAATGGATTAACTAATCCTCCTAAAGAATTGGATAGTCATGATGCATTGCTAAAAGCTAATCTTGAATTATGTATCAAGAGATGAAAGAGGAGTCCTTTATTCTTGATACATTATTAACATATCTAGGACCTTATTGAGTCACACGTATAAGTTCAAGTATTCATGTTACAAATGAGAAGCAAAGATATTAGAAAAACATTTCTAACTATGAAAGTTTTCTATTTTGGAAACGAGTTTTCAAAATGAAGAGTTTTCTAAAATGGAAAATGGAAAGTTTCCTATAATGAAAGTTTCCTATTTTAGAAATCAATTTCCTAATTTAGAAAGTTAGTTTCAAATTTAGAAATAAAGAACCTAAAAGGAAAGGAGTTTCCTAATTTAGGTTAAAGAGTATTTTGAGAAATTGTTTCCCAATGTGGACCTCGTCAAAATAATCTAAGAATATTTATTAGATAGTCCAAATAAATTAATTAGGCTAAAATAGTTTTAGCCGATTAGGTTTAATTCAAAGCCTTAAGATAATTTTGATGGAAGGATAAACATTAACCTTATTGAACAAGGTTGAATGTTTTTAAAGATAAACATTAAGTAGTCCACATGTAAAATAACTCGCTTAACCTTGGAGGATAAGGACGCAATAACCTAGAGTCTTAACTAGGGACTTAGGATGCCCCTTTCATTGTCTTTGGAGGACAAGGAAACTCTCCCCTATAAATAGGAGGAGAGGTATGGTAAAAAGTGTGTTAATGCATACATTGAGATTCGACCAAGGTAGAAAACATATATAGCAAAATTCGACTAGCCTTAATGCCAAACTAGGGCAAATGGCTAAGAAAGAAAATAGTTTTCTCCAAAACCCTAGCAAGCCATATTCTTTCCTCCTCGAACAAGGTTATCGCAAAGTTGCTTGGGATTGATTTCTAGTGGAAAAACTTAATCGAAAAGGTGGAGCTAGCACCCCATCAATTTTGAATGCTTCTTTGTGGATATTTGGGCTGCGTGGATCATCAATAGAGGTTGGACACTTGGACATCTAATCAAAGAAAAGAAATTTAGATTTGCACTATAAAAGGTAATCCTTTGCTTTTATTCTTATTATTCATGTATGTATGATTAGTTAATTCAACGACATGATCTTGGGCCCTTAGATGAAGGAAAATTTTTATTTATTTCGCATCTCCATAGGATGTATGATTCTTTCAATTATCTCTATTTGTAATTTTAAAAAAATAGTGAGAAAAAGAAGAAGAAGAGAGAGAGCATGCAAATTAAAGGTATGAAAAGCATGCTCGCATGCTTAAGTCTTTATAAAAAAAGGATCCAAGATCTAGAGGGAGTTATGCATAATTGTAAGTGAATTAATAATTTGATTCAATTAAGTTTTGATTGCTTTATTAGTTCTTTGGTTTAGTGTTTTTTCCTCTCTCTCCCCAAATGTCATACCTTTAGCCCAGCCCCATTACAACCTTAAATAAAGACCTTCCGATTTTTGCATGTATGTGATAACGAGTGGTGGCGATTGGATGAATTAGCAAGCATATGGAGCTTCCTCTCATAAATTGAACGTTGAGTGGAATTTCATTATCCCTTAAACACTTGAGTGAACTATGACATGAGTGAACTTCTGTACATTTAATTGATTGCTCTATGAGTTAAACAATCTTATCCTAAGTGTTCGAGTTTGTATTGATTGTTTATTTATAAGTTTTATAGTACTTGAAGCTCACTTTCATTTATCCCAATGTTAAAGGACTCTTTTCCTTTTATTTGGGAAGTATGTACCTTTATTTGTGTAACCTCTACTCTTAATTGTTTCTTTTCTTGAGGGCAAGCAAAGTTTAAGTGTGGGGAATTTTGTTGTGTCTATTATTTATAGATTATTTTAGTATTTTCTATTTTAATTTCTATAGAATAATTCTAGGTTTTTAGTAAGTTTTTATTTTATTTTCTCATTATTTTCTTATTATCTTAATAGTATTTTAAGTCATTATTTTTAGTATATTTTTAAGGGTATAAGTATGTTTTGATCCCGACTTAAATTATGTTTTATTTAGATTTAGGACCAAATTGGAAATAAAGAAATGAAGATTCAAGGTCCGAATTGAAAGAAGATAAACAAAGGAGGCAATTAAGCATGAAGGAAAGTCGGGAAAAGGAAAAAATGAGTGTCATTGTGGTGACTCAAGATTCATGGCCATGACTCTTAAAAGGGGAAGGAAAACAAAAAGCTCACGTGCAACTCTTAAAAAGAAGAAAGCACGGTCAAAGCCACAATCAACCTTAAGAAAAAATATGCATAATTCACGCCTCATGACAAACTTAGTCATGGGCGTGACCCTCATCAAGTCACGGTAATGGCCTCATTTACAAGGCCATGACAAGTGATTTTCCTATTTTCTTGAGGATTACGGAGTGAATTATGCAGATTTTCAGCGAACTAAATTGGAAAGTGAAGATTGTGCAGATTTGGAGCGAATATAAACGATGTAGAGAATTAGGTGAGGGGGGATTCGTCCATCCATCCACACATCGATGCATTTTATCCAACCTTCTCTCAAAAGCCTTAGATTTTCCAGTAGCCACCTATTCTATTTATAGCCATGGAAGATAGACAATAGAGACTTGGCAAGGACTCGTGCTTAAGCCGAACGGAGACCATCCTCATTGCTTTCAATTCCTAATTATGAAAACATGGAATTTATTTTGATTAAATCAATGGATGTTTATCTTTCAATTATGAGTTAAATTCTGTCTTGAGAATTAACAAATCCATTTTTGAATATGTTTAGTTAAATTAGTTACTTAGTTGTTCTTGCCATTCCTACGATTCTAGAATTATTTATTTGTTAGTGTTTGGCCAATAGTTATATATATGTGGTATTGAGTTGAGGTCGATCGATAAAATTCAATACTAAACTAAAGGATTATAGACATTAGGTTATCAATGAGAAGTCCAATAACTCAGGGAGGAAAGATTAATAAAAGGATTAATTAATTTAATCGAGCTTTAGACTTTCCGAATATGAAAGTTATGAAGGTATTTAGATAATTAAATTAATGTTCAGTTACTAATCTCCATAAGAATAATTATTTGAGGAATTTTAATTAAACATAGGATTTAATTGGTGGAGTTAATTTCTCAAGAATTTGCTCACCTTGATTTTAGTTCCGCTTTGTTACGATTACGGTAGTTGCTTTGCATTCCTTTTTAATTTATAATTTTCAAATCACAATATGGTTAGTGTTTAGGATTTTACTTTATTATTCTTGTTTGCAATCGGGATTAAATTATTTTATGCCAATAACATCTCCTTGAGAATACGACCTTGGGGTGACTCACTAGTACTATAATTACCTCGTACACTTACGAGTATTTGCTTGATAAGTTTTAGTTTACTTTTAGGCACATCACGTATGACATAACATAACTAGACAATATATATATATATATGATATATATATATATATATAGTTTAATGAAAAGCTAACAAATTCTATAGCTTGATAAGATTCAGCATACTCTACAAAAACAACCTAAAAGACTTCCATACTTGATCACTTCAAGGTTAAATAATTTTCTTTGAAATTTATGTTAATTATTATTATTATTTAATTTTTGTGGTTGAGATCCCTAGTCTCTTAATGGATCTACACTAACCATTTGAAATTTTCATTGAATACATTTTTTTTGTTGGACGAACATCAAATATATCACTAAACCATCGAGATATTATCAATTTTACATTTAAATTATTGTTTTTTTGTGAATTTCCTCACTCGAACTATTTTGATTTCTAAATGTAGGATTTTTTTTTAGAGTCACTTGATAGAAATCATTATGTTATCTACAAAACAACATCATTTCTTACAAAAAACAATACAATTTAGATGAAAGATGGACATAAAACCTTTAAAATAGATTAAAGTTCTTAAATAAGAATTTTTGAAAATGATAAAATTGATACAAAAACTTGGTTGATAATAATATTGAAAATACCAATATAATTGAGCGGTATTTTTTAAGTTTGCCCTTTTTTATTTTATTTACGACATTAGTTGTGGATAACATACGGTTTTTCTTATTAATTTCTATTAAATGCATAGCTAACTAAAATTTCATGATATTAAGCACATATAATTAGAACCTATATAATTAAGATACGGAAAATTAAGAGAAAGTAAACAACCTATTTGCTCTTATATTTACACCTTAATATACACATATTGAAAATATATATTCCTCATTAAAAAAAAAGTGTGAATAAATTAAAAGGTATTGTTTTCATGGATCGAAGGTATGGTACCATGCATAATCAACGAAGAATCTTTGCGAATAAATTAAAATGGATTTAGGATTTTATACTTAGACATTAGATATAAAAAGAATCACGCAAGTGTTGAAAAGTTCATACAAAGACAAAACTTACACGTATGTTTACACATGTTCGGTGTACTCTTGATATTTAGCGTCAATGCGGTCATCGGTCAAGGAACTTTGGATCTTGCGGTATTTAGCCGTAGATTGCTCTACCATTAAAAGTCGAAAGCCATATGGTCTTCGGTTTCATATTTATTGTCCCTATTTAATCATTTTCTACAATTATGTTCAAAATGTTTTGCCCTTTTCCTTCGGCGGGCCGATGCGACTTTCGGTTAGCATCGAGTAGGTACCTAATTACGTTTCCTATGGTTAACAAACTTTTGATGTTAGCATAGTTAGGGTATGTATGATAATCTATTTAAGTAGTTTAAAAAATTAAGTTATAATACTTAATATAAAAAATTTATTTGATAATTTAAATAATCTCGATAGTTAAATTTTAAATTCGAGTCAAAATTTACTTAATTAGGTAAGTTAAATTTTTTAACTTAAAACTTTTTGATCACCACATTCAGTTGAAAGATTTTTAAATTTTTTAAAATATAACTATATAGCCCTCGTATATTCTTATAATCCTAATTATACAAACTAATTGAAAAACGATCTCTCGTTATCTCCATTACCAAAATAGAAGATCTTGTTGTTCTTCTCTTTTTTCATCTCTCATCGAATCTCTTACCCGCTTCACGTTTTTCCATCTCTCACCAAATCCTCAGCTTAGTGAATTGATCTCCATGAATTTAACAAAAATAAGGCTATGATGCTCTCTAAGGTGTGCTAATTGATTGCATCCATGCATGAATTGCTTTATCTCTTGTCACGAATAGTTCGCTGCACCATCCTTTCACCATTTATGTCATTCAAGTCAAATGCAAGCATTATTGTGACAAAGGATTGATAAACGAGTTGACATGATGATAGATCCTCAAAATATGTTTGTTTAATAATGATGCCATCATGTTTGTTTAATGATGATTCGTCAAATTCTAAAACATTTATCCTCTAATCAACATAAGAGGTTGTTGGTGGAAAAAGAATAGATAAATCTGCTCCTATCTTTATACATCGTGGCATATCTTATTGGCTACATAAATAATTATAAGAACCAAGGTTAAGCATTCATAATCTCTTCTCTCAATCTCTTTTCATCTTATTTCCTAATACCTATATTACTACCTTTTTAGGCTTATTCCCCTTCTCCATTCATTGGCTTAGTTATCGGAGTGTCCTTCACCTAACTCCGAGGACTTGTTTTATAAGTATATTAACAAATCCAATCACCACCATTCATATCCACCATAGCCTTTACTTAGCCATACAAAGAGCCATATCATATATAGAGGTTTTTAAACCTTATCACTAACACACAAGCATATCCATGGAGAAAATATTATACCGAGTTTGATTTTGAAAATATTCAAAGCTAGTGGATTAGATCATTTGATAAAGCTTCATTTCTATCCCAAAGGGAAAATTGGTAACTTGAGTAGCATTTTAACAGTGATAACATAAAAAAAGTGAACGAGTCATAAATGTGACACCAAAGCTATTTCTAATCGAGTTCGAAAAATTCAAATATTAATGAATGGTTACATGATTCTTTATAGTTGATGATTAACGATGTAGATTGATTGTTTATAGAGATCTTTTCCGCTCAAGTTACTTGCAAGACAAGTTCCTCTAGTTGGTTAAGGTATCCTTTGATGATTAAGTCAACGATCGAAAAGAAAAGAGGCTTGATTAGGCTTTAAGTATATCTCTATTTGTGTGAAAGAGATAATGACTAGTAAAATGTAGTCGAGAAAGAGTAGGATTTCAAAAACTAAAACCTTTGGTGGTTAGAGTTCTTACATAGGCAAGGCTTTTGTTAAGTTATATAGTGAAGGAGGTAGAGGTCCATTTCTTAGTCGTCGACAATCTCTAACACTAACTTTGAGACCTATACCTTTGATGTGAATTATCTTCTAACGACGCCAATATTATTGTGGTTGGTATCAATTAGACAAGAACAATTTTGAAGGGATGTTTTCATTAAAAAATCTACTTTGATGGCTTCTTCTCCACTTCTAAGCTCTTTAAAAAATCTTTGTTGTTATTCTCTTATTCTCTCCAGTGGGATTTTCTTTCAAACAATAAAAAACTCAATTTCTCCATTGCTTGTTTGTTTTCTTCCTCTTTGTTTTCTTTTTCGTTCTATTTCTTTTACTTTCTCTTTATCTATTTTCTTTCGTCCTCTCTTTCTTTTTTTTTTCCTATTCTTTCTACTATTATGTCTATATGTCCTAACCTTTGTTTTCTACCTCTTTTTATAGGGTTTATAAAGGAATCTTTACTTGTATTAAAGGTGTCAATTTTGTCCCTAATATTCAGCTTATTTGTAGTTATTCATACGTTATTTGCAAGCAAATATGGATCGTTATGATGGGTTGTTAGGCAAGGATAATGATAGAATTTTAGAGGTTTATGGTTGCACTTTTTTGGCCAAACATTAAGCTCATTATAAAGGGACGTGAGGTGGGTGCTTAAATTAGCATTGAGGATTAAAAATCAATATGAAAATTGGGAGAAAATATCTTGCACCATCCCGCCAAAAGGGAAGAAAAGCGTAGGGCAAGAAAAGAAGAAGATATAGTGACAAACAAGGTTGAAATGGTGTCTAGCTTTGCTTATCTTATATATATATATATATATATATATCAAACCCTTCAAAATAACAATGTTTCATTAAAAAAATATCTAAGTTGGTCTTCATACATTTACGCCTTTTTGGATTTAATCATTGGACCTCTTTTTTCTTTCAATTATACCCTTAATTAGCGATTAAACTGAATTTTTTTTTGTTCTCTTTTTATTTGTTCCTTGTGCCCCTTATTTTTTCTTCTTCATCAATCTCATATTTATTTATTTATTTATTTTGATGATTTCATTTAGTTGTGTTTTCTTCGGTTGTTTAATATCTTTCATTTCCTTTTATTTATTTTATTTTATTGGACTATTTTCCTTTAAATTAGGAATGAAAATACCAATATATATTAATATCTTAAAAATTACATAAAATCATAAAAACAAGAAAGCATGTATTTTTTTTCAAAAAAAAATCTCTCTCTTTTTTTGGATTTTATTTGATTTTGATCCTTTTATTTTATTTTTAAATAAGGGATGAAAATTAGGTACAAAAATTTTGTTTTAGAAAAAGAACTCTTTGTTTTCCTTCACTTCTTTGTTTAAGCGAGTATGACTAATTTTGAAAGAGTTAGGAGTGCGTTTGGGTTGTGCTCGATGGAAGTTCTAAATGAGAGAATGTTATCTTAAAAAAATAGGCAAGACTCTTAGTAAGTCGGGGCCTTGTCTAATCAAGAGGTGAAGAGTTGGATCTGATATCTCGAAAGCAAGGAGTACCTCTATACATCTTGAAAGGAAGTAGGCTAATCCATCTTTTGAGGAGAGGTATGTTTTTCCTTCTTTTTTAAGGTAACTTATTATGTGGAAAAAAGACTAAGGCTCTAATGGATGTATGGGATGTTGGGGCTTCTACCCCCATTCATTAAGCTCTTACCCAAATTGAAGAGACTCCAATAGCATCCAACATTGAGGGAAAAAATTGATGGACTACCTATCCATACGTCAGGTAATAGTTTTACAAGTGATTTATTTCCATTTCTTTCTTTAAAATAACTCTGTTTGAGGAAATAGTTGTTTGGAGATGTTATTTCTTTGAGGGAAAATGGGGTTGAGGTTTTTCCATTTGATTTGGGAGATTTCCTTATTTCTTGTTGAAGTGAACCTTAGATAAGTAGACCTACGTTCTTTTAATATTATGTCTAAGGTTATAGGACTTTTTCAAAGATATCATATAATCCTTTAAGCCAAGGATGGAGAAATAATATGCTTATTTCGTTAACAAGTTAAAAAGGTAGACATTGACCTCTCATAATTCTTTCCTAGTGGGTCCATTCTTGAGTTTACAAAGCTATTCCAATCCTTGGGAATCAACTACTATATAAGGGATATATCCTTAGGAATCAGGCTTCCTCCTCTTCTTTTATAAGCAAGCCTCTAGTTGGTTAATGATCAAGTGCATTCCACTATCTTCCGGTCATTGTTCTTTTGTTTTATGGTCATCCTTCTTCTGACTTTTGGTCATGTTTCTTCTATGAAGAGGATTTTAGTTTTATTCATGGAACATTTCATGCTCTTGAGTGTTTAGGAAAGGGTTCTAGTATAGCACTTAGAGGCAAACTAGGTTGATTTCTTTATATTTATTTTCCTTAGTTCTATAAGATTAGTTATATCTTTAATTCATTTAATGAAACTTTAATGTTCTTTCTTTTCCTCAACCTTTTTATCAATACTCATTAAGAATGCATCATTCATTAAGATCTATCTTTGCTTGTTATTTATCTTGGAAAAATTGGTTGGCTTGAATTTACTCTATCTTATATCTTTATTCAAATATTTGTTTTGAATTTCCAATATTTTCTCCTTGAAGTGAATTCTTGGTTATTTCTCTAGCATAAGTAAATCAAGAGCATTTTTGAAGTCTTTAGGATGTATCTATAGTTCTCGTTGGGTTTGAAGTTTAAGGGAGTGAAGATTGGTAGCTCATTTAGGACTTATTTTCTTATAAATGAGCTCATCTTCTTTTCTAAGTAACATCCCTTTGAAATTCTTCTTTTTTACTTTTTCTCGTAGGATGTGGTCATCCATTCACTGGGCAATATGGCATTGAACTTTTCTTAAAGAGTATGGCCATTTGTTCCTCGAGAAATATTACCTTGAGCATTTCTTCTAGAATGTGGATGTTTGCTCTCTAGGAATATGACCTTGGACATTTTTTCCTAGAGAATGTAGTTTCCTAAGGAATATAGCATAGAACGTTTTTCTTAAAGAATGTGATCTTTCATTCCCTAAGGAATTTGGCCTTGAACTCGAGTAATGGGATTCATATTTGGAGAGATTTTAACTAATGTCATATATACATGTTTTCAAAACATTTAAGAGGGACTCATTTAATAATAAATTCTGCCATACCTATAATATTAGGTTTGTATAGCAAAATCTCTATATCATACCCCTAAACCCTCATCGCCCTTTATTGGCATCGCTTCTTATCCCTAAACTAGTTTGTCTTTGGATCCTATTCATATAGCCTTCTTTCTTTTCAATTGATTGCCCCCATTCTTGGTAGTTCCTCTTGGCATGAAGCAATTAATGGACAAATACCATATATAGGATATGGTGCTTATCTTATATAAAAAGAGCCTCTTTTAGATAACATTATACTGCTAAATTCATCTTTATAATTATAGTGTGGATTTTAGCATGGGCACTTATAATGACTAGAATTTGCACAATCCGTTCTATAGGCACTTGTCCTCTTTCTATGCCCATCATCAAGGTCTTTATCCATTAAAGTCTAGAGGGATTCATCTTCTTCAGGTCAAAGGCTTCATGAGATAAGATATTGATAACACTTTTATTATCTATAAGAATGCAATAGAACTTGTAGTTGGAAAGGATCATAGAGATGACTTGGTCATACCTTTTGCACTTCTAGGTGTGAATACAATCAACTCATGCCATGGTGGTGAGGACCATATTCTCATATGTTCTCCCATTTTGGTTAAGTCCAAAATCCTCTTAATATGACACCAAGCCTAGGAGATCATCTTGGTGATTATTAGGTTTTGCTTCAACTCGATTTGGATTGGGGCTTTCCTTAAGGTATTTATTAAGGTATCCTTAGACAATTAGTTTTTAATTTTTCTTTGTAAGGAATAAAAATCCTCTATTTCATGACTATTGTCTTGATGGTAATGGTATGAATTTTTTCGGGATATAAAGGTGTGAAAGACCTCTCATTGAAAGGGGTGATTTATGTATCCGTTCCCCTGAATGATAGCAAACACTTTCATTTTGGTTGTGTTCAATGGTGTTGATTAGATTTCGAGAAAGACTAGGCAATCGTAGATGTTCTTTCTAAGGTTCTTCTTTGGATTGGAACGAGCTTATAAAAATCTTTCTCTTATTATTTTTTTATGGGTTTCTTGAAAGTAAGGATGTGCTTCATTAGTTGTGATAAACTCTTCTACCCATATGTGGCTTTCCATAGCCTCTTTCACTTAGTGGAGGTTTCTATTATGGAGGGCGTATATTTTCCTCTTTAAGCTAGCATTGACGATTCCTTAATAAGAGCTTTTGTAACTATACGTTCTAGTAGCTTGTCAATTTTTATCATTTCATTATGGAAATAGAAGAGGTACGCTCGAGTGCTCTCTCCTTTTTGTTTGGAGATTGAGAAAAGATCGACAAGACTTTTTTTAGTAAGGATGCTTGGTGGAAAAGAGGGTGACCAATTTGGAGAGAAGATACTTGAAATTGAGGATGGATTCAAGATCCAAACTGATATATCGTTTCCTCTATATGCCTTAAAAGTGGTAGCAAAAACTTTGCAAATGTCATACATTCCTTGTAGCACTAGTTTAAGGGTCCCTCTCATATTCTATACATGTTTATGCTTTCCGGAATCAATAAATCCATCATACATGTCGAGGCTCATCTTTTTTAAATGAACTCTTTGGAGAGTGGTGTCTAGAATGTATAAGGTAAGAGGAGAAGTTTGGAACTTGTAGCTATAATGGTCCAAGTCTAAATGGACGGAGGTAGCAAGCTTTTTTCATTCGATGGCATTTGGGTTCAAGGCTCATTATAGAGTTTTCGACAAAGACATACTCTTATAGTAATTTTTATAACCATCATTGCTAAAATTATGTCTACTTCTAGCATCTTGATGGTGCTTAGATCTTTCTTCTTTCTCCTTCTTCCTCTTTGAGATATTTGACTACTTGGTTCTTTACCATGTCAACAAGGATGTCTCCTTTAGGGTTTCAAAGAATGGAAATGCCTTCGTTCATTATTTTTCCATCATTACATCCAAATCTTCCTACTTTTGTAAGATGCTAGTTGTATTTGTTTGTGCAAAGACAAAGCTCCCTCTATATGTAGTATAACATGTGGTGGCACGAGTGTTTTTGGTGATAGAGAATAGGGTGGTGCTTGCGACATTGGAGGAGGTATAGTCATTGCCTTTATTTGCTCTTATGCTAACACAATAAAAAAAAAATCTATAAGAATCTAGATGTATTATTATAATTGAATGGCATCCATAGGTTGGGTGCCAAAATAGACAAAGTTTTATATGATCGAGTGAACTAGAGTTTCTTGATCATTAGTCACAAAAAATCTTAAAGAGTCAAAATATTTATGTGTGAATTGGTTTTTGTTTAGTTCTCCAAAAATAGTGTCAATTGATGAGTTTGAGAAATTGAAATAGTAATGAGCGATTATGTGGCTTTTTATGAATGATGATTAATGATGGAGATTGATTGTTCATGCGGATCCTTCCCGGTCAAACTACCTAGAAGACAAGCCTCTTGGTGGATTGAGGGACCCTTTAATGATTAAGTCAATGATCAAAGAGAGGAGAGACTTGATTAGGTTTTGAGTATATCTCTCTATGTGTGAAAGAGATTATGAGTAATAATACATAGTAGAGAGAGAGAGAGCAACATTCAAAACCTAGAACCTTTGGTGGCTAGGATTTTTATATAGATGATACTTTTAGAATGGTCTATTCTTTAGTTGTTGATAATCTCTAAAACTAACTTTGGTGACCTATGCCTTTGATGTGACTTGTTCTCTAATGACCCCAACATCGTCATGATTGGTATCAATTAGACAAGGATAGTCTTTGAAGGATGTTTTCATTAAATGCATTTTCTTTAATCATAATAATGGATGGAGTGTGTCCTCTTTAGCTAGGACCAACGCTTAGGGTAAAGAGAGTGGTGGTATCTTATTGAGATACTAGCTAGCCTTTGATTGGTTGTTAGCTTTAATCGGTTAGCTTTAATCGAGGATTCTATTCTCAAACATGGTTTGTTTGGGATGCATGTATGACACATGTCATCAAAACTCATCAATTTCTTTCTTAGATTTCCACATTAACTAAGCAATCACATAAAAAAAAATTTCCATTTCATTCTTATGGACACTCTATGTAAAATGGAATTACAAGAAAAGCCTTATGTTGTGATAGCGATGAGATTTTATTGTCCAATAGAGCGTAACATTCACCATATGTTTAAAAATTTCAATTTCCATAATTTGCATAGAAATGACTACAATGAGGCAATTACCATATGTTTGTATACTTTCATGCATATTCTCAACACCAAAAGAGTTTGGAATTTATAATATTTATGATTTTGTTTTTTGGAAAATAGGGACGATACCTTAACTAATATATTGGAAGAAACATGAAAATTATAAACGGGTAAAATCCAGCCTAGCTCAACATAATGGGAGGACTAGGAAGCCTAACTCTTGAAATAGCAGTTATAGGAAAATTCCCGAAAATCTAAGAATTATTAGCTAATCATTAAACTTCTATCTAAATATCCAAACCAAAGCTGCCAAGAAATGGAATTAGCTGAAACCATGATGATAGTTATACAAACCCAACCTGTCATTCGAGAGAGTTGTGCAACAAGAAATAGGTAAGTCATTAGCCAAGAATAAAACCACTGCACAACTTATGCTTGGAAGGCTCAATCTGCAAGCCTATCTCGCTATCTTATTTCCTTCTCTGTGAACATGTTCAATGATAATTTCATTAGTAATATATGCCTAGCAGACTGCGAAAATGTATGTGAGGTGCCAAGGACATGAAGTATAATGGGATAAACCTACTAGAATCAATAAGGAATCACTCTTTATGATGTCAAAGCACATATTATATATCTAACATATCTTGATTCCTTATAAGAGAGCTGAGGCCTCTCCTTTGGAATTTGTACTTGGGGCTAAAGTATTTGGAGAAAGCTATTATCAATTTCCCCCTCTCATCACATAGGATACCACTACCACTACAAATATTATCCCTTGAGAGCCATCATTGTTTAGCTTCGGTTTACCTAGTTGAGGTAGCTACCATTTAATCTATCCGCCTCTAATCGGAATTATGTCTTGTACATGTACGACTAACGCTCTAAGACATAGGCCATCGTGAAAGGAAGTCTTACTTTTTGGAAGAAATAAGGCAATCGAGTTCATTAAGCAAGTTCACCACCCTATGTTTAATTGCAGTTCCATTTATAATATCCTCCTCAAACACTAATTTATTTCTCGCTAGCCAAAGTTCCCGAAGTATATAGTTGAACACTATCATGCAAGAGAAAGAATTTTTGGGAAATGAAGCTACCTGTAGACAACCATGCTGAAAGTAGATGCTTAACCGAGGAGAAACCCGGATTAATGTACAGAGTGTAACCAAAGAAACTTCACATATCTTTCGCTATATCACCATGTATGAATAGATGCTCCCTGGTTTATGTATGATGTGATGTAAATAATTCATTATTATTATTATTATTATTATTATTTGTAATTTTTCTTTGCTTGGTTGTAATTTTTATTTTTATTTTTTTTTTGTGAATTTTAAGGGGATTCCGGGCCTAAAATTCTAGACTAATCTCTCGATATTTAGTTGGATACACAAGACGGACACAATTATTTAAAAATTTTCTACGTACACAAGGATTCGAAACTAAGACTAGTTGCTTAAGCGACCGGAGCTTTTTTTACTCAAACCTATCCTTTTGGGTTGGTTGTAATTTTTTTAGTAGTGTGGAGGAGGTTTTTTCAAAAATTTATTTTAGTCCCGGTAAGTTTAAAAAATTGTTTAATTCTTATATTTTACTGATTTATAAATTGATCTTTTTTTTTATTTGAATTTTTTATCCTTGTATTATTTTGAAAATATAGTTTAGTTTTTATAGTGAAAAAATTTTGTAATCAAATCCCTACATGATTACTTTTTAATCATGTAATAGTTCATTACAGGCTTGTAATGTAATAAACAGTTATAATTACAATCACCTATTACATTAAAAATTACACAACTAAACATAAGAATATAATGGATCATTAAATGTAATTATGTTGCTAATAACCAAATTAAAACAGCATTCTCGTAGAAATGAACCATCCTTTATGGTTTTTTTTTTGTTTCGAGCACAATTTTAAAATTGAATAATTACTCAAAATCTAATCCTAAAGCCAATAATATTGTGTACAATTATTACTTATTTACGTGTACGTCATACATGAGTTGACATACCCTATAATCCTTAAGTCAATAATCTGGTCTATAAATAGCTATACAATTGCAAACAAAGCCACAACCCACAGCAAAAGCCATTCTCTGAAACAACAAACAATATGGCTCCTAAACTTACCCATCTTTTGATAGCATTCCTCATCTTCTTTTCTATCCAGTCCTTTATAGGTCAGGCTAGAACTTTGAAATCCGAGCGTCAGCAATCTTTTAGCAGCTTCCTTCAAAAGCTGGAGGGAGTTCGAAAGGGCCAAACGGTGGAGGGGCTTATTGAGCTCAAACAATACCTCAAAAAGTTTGGATACTTTCCGAATGATGATATCAACATCATGACCAGTGATTTTGATGATCACTTGGAGTCTGCACTCAAAACATACCAGAAATATTTTCATCTGAATATTACTGGTAACCTTGACTCAACTACCATAAAACAAATGATGATTCCACGATGTGGAATGCCTGATATCATACCAAACAATACCAAATCAAAACACAACAAGTTCCACATGGTGGCTCATTATGCTGCTGGGCCTGAAAGGTGGCCTCCTTCCAAGTATGATCTGACCTACACATTTGGCTCCGGTGGTGTCCAAGTTGTGGATTTGGACACCTTGAGGACTGTTTGCTCAAATGCATTCCAAAAATGGTCAGATGTTTCTCAATTCACGTTCCAGGAGGCCACTGACGGTGCATCAGCAGATATTGTTATTGAATTCTACAGCGGTGATCATGGGGATAATGATCCTTTTGACGGACGAGGGAACATATTGGCTCACGCTTTTTATCCAGAAGATGGCCGCCTCCATTACGATGCAGACGAGAACTGGAGCACTGACCCCACAATGGACCAAACTGACTTGGAATCCGTTTCTGTTCATGAAATAGGACATCTGCTTGGCCTTCATCATAGTACTCATCACCCCAAAGCCATAATGTTTCCAACCATACGACGTGGAATAAAGAAAAGGGATCTCACCCAGGATGATATTGATGGGATACATGCTCTCTACGCTAATTAATTAATTACGCCACAGCGCAGTAATAAACTGTAAACTATAATACTGTATACATACAGTATAATCTTAAGGTAAGGTTATTTATATTTAGGTTGGGGCCGGTTTTATTATACGTAGTTCAAGAGCTAATTTTCAGATGAAGCGCAAGAGATCAAGCTATTATTATTGTTGTTGTTATATATAATTCCTGGGATTGATCCTTCCATGTATGTTTGATCTTTCTGTCATGTTTCTTCACGTTAGTTAAATCTATTAAATTCAAAATAAGCGAGCATACCTTCACAATTCGCGGAAAAAAATAAAAAAAACCAACTTAACTATTTCCCTAAATCTCAAAATTAATAAATGTCCGAATTAAGGAAGCACAAACTTTTAAGAATATTAAAAAAAAAACTAGATTTTCACTATTCACTTACTCAGCTCCAGCTCCAGACTCATTCACTATTTATTGAGAGTAAAATATAAATTAGTCCATCTAGTTTCAAGAAATAAATTAATTAGTCCTCCTCATTTCAAAAATTATTATTTAGTCATTTAATCAGTGTTGAACATGTTTAATTTAATATTATTTTTATTCCATAAAATCACTTATTTTTTCCATGAATCTTTCCACATTTTCCCCTTTTTCTATTTATTGAAACAAAAACTCAAAATAAATTAAAAACGATAAAAAAATGATTAAATTATAAGTAGATTTCAAAACATAGGAACTAAATGATTAGTTTTTGTTTTCAAAATGAGAGAGACTAATTAATTTGTTTCTCAAAATGAGAGGGACTAATTTATAATTTACTCTATTTATGGAAGCTTTTTTTTTTTTTTTTTTTTGTGATTTATGCGTCTTTCTTGGACAATTATATACAAATTATACAATCTTTTATGCTTTGGCCCTCATATTTTCAAACTTTTTATTTTGATTAGGTTTTTTTTTTTTTTTCTTTTTTGGGGGCTATTCAAGACCCAAGGGTTGGAGAAGCAATCCCAAGCAACGCTAGCCTTGCACACAGCCTGCAGAAGCAAGCTAAAGCGCTCAGTGCTGGCCTCGCACGTAGGTCTGACCAAGCAGACCCTGGTAGGCTCAGGCCTACACAACATACCCAAACGTGAGGGCATGGGGTTTTTTTTAATAATATATATATATATATATATATATATATATTATTAAGGAATTAGGTGAGAAAATTATAGAAAATATATCATTATTATTATTATTAGTAGTAGTTTTACTGTATAATTTGATTATCATAAAATATAAATAATATGTTTTTAAGATTTTAAGTTGAACATATATATCAGATTATATTACTTTTATTGTTTAAATTTTATTTCTTCAATTTAGCATTTCATATCAAAATTCTCATAAATTAATTTTTTAAAATTTCTTGATATAATTTTATTTGTTAATAAATATGATTTTTTATATGGATTTTTGAAATAAAATTATAGAATGTGATTATTTTATTTTTCAATATATTTTTATAATTAATATATAATTTTTTAAATAAGAGTAGTGTGTGTGTGTATAATTTTTATAATTGACATGTGTTTTAGATAATTTGACTCAATTTAAAAAAAATTCAAATAAATTATTTGCTTTATGTAATAGTTTGATTGATGTTTTTGAAATAGTATAGATTGTTAGTCACTTTTTTTTTTCATTGAATCATTTGCTTTTTTTGTTCTTTATAATGGATTTCGTTGATTTTTTAATCATTTTTCTGACTGATGTTTTTTGTTTATGTGCTTAGACTATTGACAAATGTGGATAGTAATGTGTTTGTTATGATTTTGCAAAAATAAAAATAAATAAATAAATAATAATAAAATAAATAAATAAATGAATTAATGTCCTCTTCCTTATTTTTTCATTGTTTCTTATCTACGTGCTTCGGTTATTGACAAATATTAGATAGTAGTGAGTTTTGTTATGATTTCATAAAAAAAGGTGAGGTTTTCTTTTTTAGTGTCCTCTTTTTTTTTTTTTTTTCCTTTATAGGTTTATGATCATTGCGAATTTTATAGTGCCAATTTTATTCTTTATTCCATTGATGCCTTCGATGATATAAAGTCAATTAGAAACTTGAGTATTTTAAGAAAGATTTAATCATTGTATTTTAGGGTCGTTGGATATTTGATTCTTCATTGATCTTTTTTAATTCGTTGGTGTGATATTGGTGTCTTTGATATTCTTCATCAGTTAATTTCTTTCTTATTGTTTGTTTTTAGATTTCTTAGGTTCATTTTGTAGTTTTAACTTTATGTTTTTTTTTTTTTTTTTGGTGATCGAAGGGCCAACCTTTGGAGGTTGAACTTTGCCCTCTAGGTCCGTATTTGATTTTGTTTATCTCGCTAAATAATTTTTTAATTGTCTAG